CCCCAAAACCCCAAAACCCCAAAACCCCGTTCTACAAATTATAAGTAAAATCAAAAGTAAGTATTAAAGAAAAGTTACGTATATAACATATAAATACTGGTTGATTGCTAATTTTATTTAATTTAAATATTTTAAGAATCTAATAAAGAGAGAATATGCAAGCGGGTGACATACCCAAGTAGCGTGGTATTTACTCAGAGATACTCACTACTGAGGACACAGAAAATCTGAAAGTACTTTTCCTCTCTTAACTAATTCGCTCTAGTTAGTTTCAACTATCGGCCCTTCAGCCAATAACGTGATTCAGACGAACGTTAAACAAAAGTTGCCACGAGCTCTAGGTAAGATTTAGATCAAATAGCCCTCCCAAATTATAACTTTACTTCTTCTAAAGGTATCAAGAGAAAACCAGCTGGAGAGGTTGTTCAAGCTGACCACAAAGGTAGTAATGTTTTACTTGATAAAACTGGCAAGCTCCTTGGTAAGAATTACTTCAGAGATTCAGAGGTTAACAGAGGCTTCTACTCTAAGAAGAGAGAAGGAGTTGCAGATGTGGATCCAAAGGTAAACTTGCAACATTTTATTTTTATTAGGTCATGGAGCCATTTATTCCAATCCCAGGCAAGCCCCCTAGATAAGTTGTCATTGATAGACAAAGAAAACTATTTGCTTCCTTGAATATCGAAGATCTTTTATTTGAGCTCGTAAGAATTTAAATTTTAATATCTTGCAGGGTATCGATTACACAAATCCCTAGAAAAATCAAGCTGACTGGCTACCACTTGAGCCTTTCGACGACACTGAATACGATTGCAGACTTCCAGAAGAATGGCTTGAATATGGTAAAGATCCGGTTACAGGAAATTTCAGTCCGATTCCAGGAAAAGGATTATGGTATGATGATGATGGTAGAGGCCACTGGAGGCCAGTTCTTATCCACTCTTATGACCATGAGAGAAACGTCTATTCTGGAACTTGGGACGATGATCAAAACGGTTACTGTGACTTGACTCGTATCAATCTACTCTTCAATGCAGAGGATCCTAGAATATTCGCATAAAGAGTGGCTCAAGCACATTAAGAGAGAATTTTCGCTGACTCTCAGATAAGATATAACTTCTTTATAGACAATATGCCTACAAGTACGGAACTACCCGAATTAGACTCTGAGCAGCAACACAGAATCATTCAAATGGCTACTGCTTCAAGATATCTTAAACAAAGAGGCAATGTAGATACAGCTGGTATAATGGGTGATGTAAGTCTAGATTTCGGAAGGACAATGAACTGGATTATCATGGACAAAACTATGGAGAAGCCTATTGAATAACTGAAAGAGATGATCCCAGCTAATTTAAATTTACCACCAAAAGCTCCTCTAAAGTAAACACCATATTTCGGAATGACTCCTATTCCACAGCATGATTTCCCAGAGCAATTCTCAAACTTCTGCTTCAATTCATTGTACATCAAAGAGGAAGTAATCAAAGCAATGGTTGAAATTAGAGCTGAGTGTAACTAACTTCTATTGGACAATAAGATATTCGATGTCTCAATTAACAAAACTTTGAGAGTAGAAGAATTCAAGCAAATTTAATCTTCAAGTGTGGCTCAGATTAAGTTCAATACTAGAGAGCAAGGTTGGGTTGGAAGACTTGAGAAAATAATAAAAAACTCATTTACTGAAGTAGGAAAAGGTTGGTTTAATATCCATGAAACTTCAAAAGAGACCTATGAGTTTGGTAAATTAAAAAAGTTCTTGACATTAGTCAACTTCATGATGCAGGATACTATTTTGACAATGTGCAAAGATTCCGTGAGAGAATTTGTTAATTTCATGGTTAAATTTATTCCAAGGGAATCTATAATAGTTTCTACTTCTGTTGTTAAGAACACTTTCGAAAAAATGATAATTCTAGGAGATGACGATGAATTGATTGAAGACGATGATATTCCCGATAGTGAGTTGACAACAATTTAATAGGTGAGAAGAGAAATGAATAAGATGTTCGATAAGAATAAGGATCCTGAGCCTCTTTTCGTTCTCGATCTTATCCTTAAGCCAAATCAATTAATCCCTTAGTACTCAACTGATCCAAAGGATATTGTCACAAAAATTATGGAAGTATTTGATGAAGGTATTGAGTGCCTCCAGCAAATTCCACAACTAGAACCAATTCTACTAAGGCATTTGTTCAAGACTCATGGCAAAAAGATGCTTAAGGCACCACTTAGACCAAGAGAAGAGCCAAAGAGAAAACCTGATGATCAAAATAATAAAAAGTTCTTGCCAGATGAAAACATTTGGCTTTGGGACGCATTCAGTGCTATCAGAAATGGCCTAGAAAAATCAATCGAACCTCTCTACGAATACGTAAAGACTTTTACTAAATTTGAGGGTGAAAATAAGATGAACCCTGATAAATATGTTAAGAGCTTAGATGAAGGTGAAACCTAAATTACAGCAGAAGGATTAAGAAATGATATCTAAGAACATAGAAAAGAAGAGTCTAGGCTTAAGGATGAGATCCCAGAGAGTATAGTAGTCTCAATTTTCCAAGTTAACTGCAAGGATATCAGAAACATGTATGTTGGTAAACACGCCAGCATCATTGAAAAAGAAATTAAGCTTATTGCCTAGAAAGCTAAGGAGATGAACTACTCCCTATCAACAAAGTTTGATGAGATAAACGAGAGAATCAGAAGACCACCTAAAAATATTGAGGATTTGACAGAGACTAGAAAGTATATCTCTGAAATCCCAATTGTCATTGAAAAATTGAAGTAGGAAATCTCATAGAGCATGGACATTTACTCAATTCTTGATGAATTTAACTACGAATTTTCAAGCAATGATTTGGACTAAAAATGGTATCTATATGGATCTCCATAGAAAGTTGTCTCTGTCATTGAGTAACAATCTTAGACTCTTGATAAATAGAAAGAGCAATTCGTGAAGTAAATGGAAACTGAACAAGAAGAATTCGAAGAGACTTTAGATAATCTTGGCATCACAGTTGGAGGATTCTTCAGTTTTGATGATCTCAATAAATACGAAGAAATAGCTGTTGATGTTGAGTCAGTTAATCAGAGACTGTAAGATTGCATCGAGCAAGCTAGACTTTACAACCAAAGAGAATTCTTAGTAGGAAAAGACCAAAAAGACTATTCAAGACTAAACCAAATGGCTAAAGATTTCTAACCATACTCAAATCTTTGGCTCACAACTAGAAACTGGCATAAGTCTCACCATGGTTGGTTAAACGATGAATGGGAGCAACTTAATGCAGTTGAACTTGATAATACCTTTGATCAATCAAACAAGGTCATTTCTCAAGTACTTAGATACTTCAGAGAGAAAGATCATCCAAAAATCACTAAGATTGCAGAATCAATGAAGAAGAACATTGATGAATTCAAACCATATGTGCCTTTAGCTGTGGCTTTAAGAAAAGATGGTATGAAAGATAGACATTGGGACTAAATTTCAGAGAAGGTCGGCTTCGATATCAGACCAACTGAAGGTTTCAATTTAACTACAGTTATTAACGCAGGAATGCTAAACAATATTGAAGTCTGCGAAGAAGTTGGAGAAAAGGCTTACAAAGAGTATCACATTGAAAGATCACTTAATAAAATGGTTAGTGACTGGAAAGATCAAAACTTCATGCTTCCATAGTTTAAGTAAACTAATACTTTCTATATTGCTGGATTTGATGATGCCATTACTATGTTGGATGAACACATTGTTACTACCCAAGCAATGACTTTCAGTCCTTTCAAAAAGCCTTTTGAGAAGGAAATTGAAGAATGGAATACTAAGATGATCCTAGTGTCAGATACACTTGAAGAATGGATTAAATGTTAAGGTCAATGGATGTATCTTTAACCTATTTTCGATAGTCCTGATATTATGAAACAACTTCCATAAGAGACTAAGAGATTTAAGTCTGTTGATTCAACATGGAGGCACATTTTAAATTAAACCAAGCAAGCACCAAACATTCTCATTACTTGCTCTAAAGAAGGACTAAAGGAAAAATTCCAAGAGGCCAATAAAAATCTTGAAATCGTCCAAAAAGGTCTTGCTGATTACCTAGAAAAGAAGAGATCAGTATTCGCAAGATTCTATTTCCTATCAAACGATGAACTTCTTGAAATCTTGTCTCAAACCAAAGAGGTTAGAAACGTTAGACCCCATTTAAGAAAGGTCTTTGAAGCTATGGCTGATTTGGAGTTCTAAAGTGATGACACAATCTGGGCAATGTTTTCTGGTGAAGGAGAGAAAGTAAACTTTGTAAAGAAGATTGACCCCAAGGATAGAAATGTAGAGTACTGGATGGGAGATGTAGAGAAAATGATGCAACTTTCAGTAAGAAATGTGCTATTGAGATCAATTGAAGACTATATTGTCAAGCCAAGAAATGATTGGGTTCAAGTACATCCAGGTCAAACTGTTTTGAATGGAAGTTAGGTGCATTGGACTTCTGAAGTAGAAGAAGGAATTAGAACAAAGGGAGTCTAAGGTATTTCTGAATATTTAGACAAACTAAACAAGTAACTTATCGATACTGTCGTACTTGTCAGATAAAAGCTTAGTAAAAATGCTACAATTACTATAAATGCACTTATCGTTATTGATGTGCACGCTAAGGACGTTGTTGCTAAATTGGTTGAAGAAAAGGTAAGTATCTTAAAGTATAATTATAAAATTGACAATGATGAAACAATATGCGTTATCGTCCTGATTACACTTGATGATAATTAACACACGTCTGAAACAATTAAAACAAACTAATAGCCCCCCTAACTAGCATATATTAAATATAATTTTTTAGGTTGATGATGTTAACGCTTTCGAATGGATCTCTCAACTTAGATATTACTGGGAAAATGACGATTGCTATATCAAATGTGTTCAAACAAATTTCCCCTATGGATATGAGTACTTAGGAAACTCATTGAGACTGGTCATTACTCCACTCACTGATAAGTGTTATATGACTTTAATGGGAGCCTTAAATCTTAATCTTGGTGGAGCTCCAGCTGGTCCAGCAGGAACTGGTAAAACTGAATCAACAAAGGATCTTGCCAAAGCCTTAGCAAAGTAATGCGTCGTCTTCAACTGCTCAGATGGTATGGATCACATTATGGTAGCCAAATTCTTCAAGGGATTAGCAAGCGCTGGCGCTTGGGCTTGTTTCGATGAGTTCAATAGAATTAACATTGAAGTGCTATCTGTTATTGCACAGCAGCTACTAGTACTTTTCAGAGCAAAGGGTAATAATGATCCTGAAATCTTCTTTGAGGATTCACTTATAAAGATGAAGCCAACTTTTTGCGTCTTCATTACTATGAATCCAGGTTATGCCGGTCGTACAGAGCTTCCAGATAATCTTAAGGCACTTTTTAGACCAGTGGCTATGATGGTACCGGATTACGCTTTGATTGGAGAGATCATGCTTTATTCTTTTGGATTCCTGACTGGTCGTGATCTAGCCAGAAAAATGGTCACCACATTCAAACTTAGTTCAGAACAGTTATCATCGTAAGATCATTATGATTATGGAATGAGAGCAGTGCGTTCAGTTATTAATGCTGCCGGTCTTCTTAAAAGAGCTAACCCAGATATGAATGAAGATCAACTTCTTCTAAGAGCCTTAAGAGACGTTAATGTTCCTAAATTCTTGAAAGATGATCTCCCCTTGTTTGAAAATATCATTTTAGATCTCTTCCCAGGAGTTTCAAAGCCAACAGTTAACTATGGAGGTCTCTTCAACTCCCTTAACAATTCTTGTGCTCACTATAATCTATAACCAGTTGATTAATTCATCATGAAAATTATCCAACTCTATGATACTATTCAAGTTAGACATGGTCTCATGTTGGTCGGACCAACCGGTGGTGGTAAAACCGCTAACTACAAAGTGCTTTAGCATGCTATGTCTGCCCTTGCAGGTTAAGATGCATTCGTTAAAGTACATGTTGATATTCTTAACCCTAAGTCAATCACAATGGGATAACTCTATGGATATGTTGATTCTCAAACCTCTGAATGGCAGGATGGTGTCTTAGCTAAGTTGGTTTTGGACTGTACAAAAGATGAGTCTCCAGATCTTCATTGGGTAATGTTTGATGGACCAGTTGATGCTATTTGGATTGAAAACATGAATACAGTGCTCGATGATAATAAAAAACTTTGCCTGAACTCAGGTCAGATTATCACTCTTACCAGCAGAATGACAATGATGTTTGAAGTAGAAGATCTTGCTGTCGCTTCTCCAGCTACCGTATCTAGATGTGGTATGGTTTACTTGGAACCTGCTAGTTTGACTTTAGAACCTCTAGTCAAATCTTGGTTGAACTCTATCCCACCAAAGATTAAGGAAAACAAAAATATTGTCAACAAACTCCAAACCCTATATGACTAATTCTTGAATGATACATGCTATTTTGTTAGGAAGTTTTTACCTGAGCCAGTTAAGACTGTTGATAACAATATAACTCAAAGCTCAATGAGAATCCTTGAATGTTTCTTTGCCTAATATGTTGAAACTGAAATTAAAAAGGTAACAAAGGATGAAATAAACAACTTAGAAACTATGATTACCCAACTCTTCTTGTTTGCTATAATCTGGTCAATCGGTACAACTACAACTCTAGATGGAAGACTTAAATTCAACTCTTGGATAAGAGAGAAGATTCAAAGCCTTGGAATTGAATTCCCTGAGGAAAGATTAGTCTACGACTACAAATGGAACCATGAATCCAAAGAATGGTAATACTGGAAAGACACTATCCCAGAGTTCAGTGTTGATATCAAGGTCAGCTTTAACGAAATCCTAGTCCCAACTGTTGATTCAATCAGAATGAAGCACTTTATTAAGTTCTTAGTCTTAAATGGCAAGCATGTCCTCACCCCAGGACCTACTGGTACAGGTAAAAGTGTCAATATTCAGGAATTAATGACTTACGAATTACCTGAAGAGTTCCAAACTCTTGCAATGACTTTCTCAGCTTAAACATCAGCAAACTAAACTTAAGACTATCTTGATGACAAGTTTGAGAAGAGAAGAAAGGGAGTTTATGGCCCTCCAGTCGGAAAGAAGTTCGTTATCTTTATTGATGATTTGAACATGCCAAAGAAAGAAGAATATGGTGCTTAACCACCCCTAGAACTCTTAAGACAATGGATGGATCATCATGGTTGGTATGACAGAAAGAGTAAGGAAAAGCCTTTCAATAGAATCGAGGATATTATCTTTATATCAGCTATGGGTCCTCCAGGAGGTGGTAGAAGTGAAATCACTTAGAGATTACAAAGACATTTCAATATTATGACTTACACTGATCTCTAACAAGAATCTATTCATACTATTTTCTTCACAATCATCACTGCTTTCTATTATAACTTCACTTCTGATGTGAAAAACTCCTTGAATGATTTAGTTGAGATGACTTTAAGAGTCTATGATAATGTTTTATATGGAAAGTTGAAGCCAACACCTAACAAATCTCACTATACATTCAACTTAAGAGATATTAGCAGAATTTTCTAAGGATTGTGTAACGCAAACAACAAACTCACTGGCTAGCCAGTTCATGTAGTCAGAATGTGGATCCATGAGAATAAAAGAGTCTTTGGAGATAGATTGATCGATAATTCAGACAGAGATTGGCTTGATAGTCTCTTGCTTTCAGAGGCAGAAAAGACTTTCAATCTTACACACAAACAAATTTTTAATGCTGAGAGACTTATTTTCGGAGATTACATGGGAGGTATTGATGTTGATAACAGAATTTATGGACAAGTCGAAAACCTCAAAGATTTTGTCATAAAGATTGAGGATTATTTAGAAGAGTATAACTCATCAGTCAAGACTCAAATGAAGTTAGTCATGTTCTTGGATGCTTGTGATCATGTCTCAAGAATTGAGAGAGTCATCAGATAACCATTGGGAAATGCTCTATGCCTTGGAGTAGGTGGTTCAGGAAGATAAAGTTTAGCCAGACTTGCAACTTACATTGCAAACTACAAGATATTCTAAATTGAAGTCGTCAAAGGCTATAACATGTAAAACTGGAGAGAAGATGTTAAGAAGGCTTTAATGCAGGCTGGTGTTGATAACAAATCAACATCCTTCCTCTTTGTCGATACATAAATTATCAATGAGCAAATGCTTGAAGATATCAACAATATTCTAAACTCTGGTGATGTCCCAGGCCTTTACAAGACTGAGGATATGGAGCCTATTTTTAAAGTAGGAAAATTAGTCTGTATGGAAAAAGGTCTTTAAATCACTAAGATGAATATGTTCTCAGGATATTTGGGCAGAGTTAAGAGAAATATTCATATGATTATTGCTATGAGTCCACTTGGAGAAATCTTCAGAAGTAGAATAAGAAAGTTCCCATCTCTAGTAAACTGTTGTACTATTGATTGGTTCACAGAATGGCCAGAAGAAGCACTTCTTGGTGTCGGTAGAGGTTAAGTAACTGCTGAAGATTTAGGATTAGGCAAATTCCTCGACCCATGTGTTGAAATGTTTAAGAATATCCATTAGTCAGTCGAAAAGAAGTCACAGGAATTCTTAGACTAACTTAGAAGAAGAAATTATGTAACACCCACTTCTTTCCTTGAGTTACTGAGTATGTACAAAACTATTCTTTTCGATAAGAGAAAAGAAGTAGAATTCTCTAAGAATAGATTGCTTAAAGGTCTTTAGGTCCTAGAAGAAGCAGCTATTGAAATCGCAAAACTTAAAGAGCACATTGATAAGATGACACCAGAGCTTGAAATCACAAAGAGAGATGTCGAAAAAACTATGCATGAACTATCACATGATAAAGCAGATGCAGATTAAGAGAAAGAAATCGTAGCCAAGGATGAGGCAGAGGCTACTCAATAAGAATCAGAAGCTGAAACTTTAAAAACAGAGGCTGAGTTAGAACTTAGTAAAGCTACTCCCTTACTTGAAGAAGCCTCAAGAGTACTTAAAGAACTTAAGAAAGATGATTTTTATGTTATGAGTTCAATTAAGAAGCCTACTTCAGCTGTCGTTTTAGGTATGGAGATCTCTTGCTATATGATGGGATTAAAAGCCAAAAAGACAAATATCGGTAAAGTTGATGGTGATACTAATGGTTATTTCGATCTCGCCAGATCAAATCTTTTGAATAATCCTGGACAGTTTATGTAGAAGATGATTGATTTCGACAAAGAAAATATCCCAGAAGCCACTGTTAAGAGAGTTAATGCTATTCTAAATTCAGAAGAATTTACTCTAGATAAGGTCAAGGCAGCTTCTCAAGCCTTGGTCGCTATTCACAAATGGGTATCTGCTATGATGCAATATCATGAGCTATTGAAGATTGTCAACCCAAAAAGACTTAAGGTCGCTGAAATGAATGAAAAGCTATCAATTGTCAGAGCTAACCTTGCCGAAAAGAGAAAGAAGCTCAGAGAAGTTGAAGAGAAGATTGAGAGTCTAGAAAGAATGTACAGAGAGAAACTAGAGCTAGAGGCTAGTCTTCAATAACAGATCAATGATTGCTACAAGAAACTAGAAAGAGCCAATAAGATCATAACAGGTCTTGAAGGTGAGAAAACTAGATGGACTCAAACTGTAGGTAGACTTGACAGAGAATATGGGCTTCTTATTGGAAATTGTTTAGTTGGAGCAGGTATGGTAGCTTATGCTGGAGCCTTTACTGCTTAATTTAGAACAGAACTTGAAGCCTAATGGAGAGATGGAATTAAGAAGCTAAAGATTGATTATATGGAAAACATTACAATGAAGGTTCTTTTAGAAGATCCAGTTAAAACTAAGATTTGGACTGCTGCCTCACTTCCCAATGATAACCTTTCAATTGAAAATGCAATCATTATGTTTAAATCAAGAAGATGGCCACTTATGATTGACCCTCAAAACTAAGCAAACAAGTTTATTAAGAGTCTTGGTAAAGATGAAGCCGAATCTGGACTTGATGTTTTCAAGATGAGTGATTCCTAAATTCTTAAGTTCCTTGAGTTAGGTATCTAGTTCGGTAAATGGGTACTTATTGAGAATGTTGGTGAAGATATGGATCCAGCATTAGAGCCTATTCTATTGAAATAAGTCGACAAGAGTGGTAGTTTAAAGCTCGGAGATAAGAGTATTCCATATAACAACAGTTTCAGATTCTTCATGACAACTACAATTCCTAACCCTCATTATTCCCCAGAAACATCAGTCAAAGTCACTATTCTCAACTTTGCTATTACACCATTCGGTTTAGAAGAGCAAATGCTTAATTAGTTCGTATCACAAGAAATGCCAGAGCTTCAAAAGAAGAAGGATACCATTGTGCAATAAAACGCTCAATCTGCAAAAGTCTTAAGAGAAATTGAAGATAAGATCTTAGAGGGCTTAACAAAGAATGCTAAGATTGCAGATATTCTTGAGGATGATGAACTCATTAAAGTTCTTGATGAATCTAAAAAGACTTCAGATGAGATTACCCAACGTATGAAAGAATCAGAAATCACTGAGAAAGAGATTGATAAGACTAGAGAAATTTACAGACCAGTAGCCTATAGAGCCTCAATATTGTTCTTCACAATTATTGATCTTGCAGTTATCGATCCTATGTATCAATATTCATTACAATGGTTTGCTAATCTATTCGGATAATCAGTAGATAACTCAGCCAAATCTAATGAAGCTGATCAGAGAATTAAATTCCTCAATGATCACTTCACTCTTAGCTTGTATGAAAATGTTTGCAGAAGTTTGTTCGAGAAGCATAAACTGCTATTCTCATTCATTTTAACGGTCAAGATCTTATTCGGATATCATGAAATTGATCCTGAAGAATGGAGATATTACTTAGCTGGTCCAGCAGGAGAAATTGAAATCGTTAAGAATCCTACAGATTGGTTAGGAGAACTTGAGTGGGCTGAAACCTACAAACAGCTCTTTGGAATGTCTAAGCTGCCAATTTTCAAGGGCTTTGACAACTTCTTCATTTAAAATAACAAAGCCTTCCAAAAGATATTCGATCATTAAGAGCCTCACAACTAACCAATTCCAGGTGACTGGAATAAGAAGCTAAACTCATTACAGAAAATGATTGCCCTTAAGAGCATCAGGCCTGATAAGATTACTCTTGCAGTCTAAAACTACATTTGCGAGAAGTTAGGCAAGGAATTCATTGAACCACCGACATTCAACCTCGCGAAGAGCTTCAAAGATTCATCAGTGACTATTCCACTGATTTTCGTATTGAGTCCAGGATCCGATCCAGTTGCTGATTTCCACAGATTTGCAGAGGAAATGAATATGTCAAAGAAACTTGAGAGTATATCTCTTGGTAAGGGTCAAGACAAAAAAGCAGAATCTATGATTTAGGATGCTGCCACTAAAGGAGGTTGGGTACTTCTCATGAACTGCCATTTAGCTACCTCTTTCATGCCTAAGTTGGAGCATATTGTAGAGAATCTAGATGATAGCAATCACAGAGATTTCAGATTGTGGTTAACTAGTATGCCAAATAAGGACTTCCCAGTTTCAACACTTCAAAACTCTGTAAAGATGACCTTAGAACCACCTAGTGGATTGAGACAGAATATTCTCAGAACTTATGAGGCTATTGATGGAAAAGACTTTGAGGATTGTACTAAGCCTGAAATTTACAAGAAATTATTGTTTGGATTTTCATTCTTCCATGCTATTGTCCAAGACAGAAGAAAGTTCGGAGCTATCGGCTGGAATATTCCTTATGAATTCACCAATGAGGATCTAATGGTCTCAAGAAGACAGTTAAAGATCTTCGTTCAGGACTACGAACTAATTCCCTATAAAGTACTAAACTACATTGGAGCTGAAATTAACTACGGAGGTCGTGTTACTGACGATAAGGACTCCCGTTTGATCATCACTATTCTAAGAACATATATCAATGAAGGAATATTGTAAGACGGTTTCAAATTCTCTACAAGTGGAATATATTATTCACCAGTTGCAGGCGAGAAGGAAGATTTCATTGAATACATAAAATCACTCCCTCTTAATCCATCTCCTGAAGCATTTGGTCTCCATGAAAATGCTGAGATCACCACATCTCAAAATACTACTAGAGTTTTATTGGAGGCTATTCTATCTATGTAACCAAGAGCATCTAGCGGCTCTGGAAAAACAAGAGAGCAAATCATTGGTGAGATGGCTCAGTACCTAGAATCGAGAACACCAGAGGTATTCGATCTTGAGATGGTTGGAAAGAACTATCCTACATCATATGAGGAATCTATGAATACCGTACTCTTCCAAGAATGTGTTAGATACAACAGGCTTTTGTTTGATATGAAAGTCAGTCTTGCTAATGTACAAAAGGCTCTTAAGGGAGAAGTCGTTATGAGTGAAGATCTTGAGAAGATGTCTAACTCTATCTTTGATAATCTTGTGCCAAAGAGTTGGTAAGATAAAGGTTTCCTTTCACTAAAGCCACTTGCCTCTTGGATTCAAGACTGCAATGATCGTATCAACTTCCTAACAAATTGGATCAATCACGGAACACCTAGAGTATTCTGGATCTCCGGATTCTTCTTCCCACAAGCATTCTTGACAGGTACCTTGTAAAATTACGCCAGAAAGCATATTATTGCCATCGATAGATTGGCATTTAGATACGAGATCCACGATGACAAAACATTCAAAGATGTGAGAGAAAAGCCAGCTGACGGTTGCTACATCTATGGAATGTACATAGAAGGTTGCAAGTGGGATGCTAGAAAGCATTTACTCGACGACTCCGACCCAAAGAAACTTTTCACAGACATCCCATTGTTACTGCTAGTTCCACAGATGGACAGAATAGCACCAAAGACAGTAAGATATAAATAAGGTTTTGTTAATGTTTTTATAGGGAATATATAACACACCCGTGTATAAAGTTTTGTCAAGAGCAGGTACATTATCAACAACAGGTCACTCAACTAACTTCGTTATGATGATGGAACTGCCCTCAGACGAGAAGGAGGATAAATGGATTAAAGCTGGTGTCGCTGCATTCCTTGCACTCAGATATTGAATCAATCTAAATACCAACAACCCATTACACTTTATATTTAAAAATTATATAATTTCCATAATAATGTCTATATTAATTAATATCCATCTTTAATATCTATTCATGGGGTTTTGGGGTTTTGGGGTTTTGGGGTTTTGGGG